ATTTGGCTTCAAAGATCTTGGACGGTCCTAAACCACAGTCAAGTAATGTGATGAAGAATGCATGGAGTAAAAAGACCAAAATCAAATTAATTGATATTGATCTTGGTGAAGGATTTATTGAAAATGGATCAACAGCGAAACTGCATATGGGAAATGAGTTGGAGAACTCAAACAGACATAAAAAATCCTTGGTAATAAAAATCTTTGGTGACAATGTTCCTGTCCATATCATAAGTATAGAGTTGAGAAGGCAATGGGGCGTGTTTGGGAAATTTCACTTGACCTTACTCGGAATGGGATGGGTTTTTTGTGTATTTGAGAATCCAAAAATCATGGACAAGGTTTTTACTTATGGTTCATTGTATGTGAATGGAAATATAGTGGGAATGGATATATGGTCACCTTCATTTTCTCCAACTTCCTTCAATGGTTTGACTGCACCGATATGGATTCATATACCTTATCTTCAATTACAAAGCTAGGATTAGATTAAAGTGTGTAGAATTGCTTCCATGGTAGATACTCCTTATTTAATAAATGGAAACATGTTCCAATGAGATAGAAGAGAATTTGCAAGAGTTTGTGTCCATGTAAAACTTGATGAAAAATTACCTTTGGGAGTTTGGGTTGAAGGAAATTTGGGTTAATTCTATCAATGTATTGAATATGAAATACTACCTACTTTTTGCTTCACTTGTGGGAAGATAGGTCATTTAAAAGAGAATTGTTCTGAAAATGGATTAGCATCTAGCCAAAATCAAATTATCATTAAAGATCAAGGAAAAAATGTTGAAGTTGAAGCTGATAAAAGAAAAGTTGATGGGGCTGTTGATGATGATAGAGAAGGTTATAGACCTTGGGTCCATGTGAATTATTGGAAGAAGAATTAAAAAAAAAAGCCAAATTTCAATCTCAAGGAAAATCATGCTACTAAAAGAGATGCTGTAAAGAATTTTGAAAAATTATTGATTAAAGCTGCTGAGAGGATTCCAGAACCACGAAAGGATAATGTAGTTGCTGATAAGATTTCTTATAAAATTTCTATGGTTATGGAATGTAACAAGCTAGATGCTAGTAATGAATTTCTTGAAGCTACTGGGAGGAGCCTTAATGCTCAGAAGGGAAATCTGGAAGTATTGGGATAGTCCATTAATGAAGAGATGAAGTTTTATTCAAAATTTAATTCCAAAAATTTGGAAGATCAAATCAAAGATTCAAGAGGTGTGAAGGATGGAGTTGGAACTCAAAACTGTGTGGATCTTCTTTTGTCTAACAAATTTGCTAATGGTATGGCTCTCAATCATAATGGAATTTTTGTTATTGACAATAAGTATGATTTTTTAAATGCTATGACCGAGGAAGGTGAGTTTGTTGATAAAACTCCTGGGAAGTTTGCTAAGCATATTAAAGGTTGTGATGTAGTATCAAATCCTTTTAATATGTTGAACGCTAAATGTAACAATAATGAAGGGGGGAATACTATTTTTAAAAAGAAAGGCTCTAAGCAATTAAAAGGATTGGAACCAATTAAAATAGATTCTAGAAGTAGAAGAGTGGATGGCGATTCAAGGGAGAAAGTGGGGAACTCTTCCACTCTTATCCAAAAATGACTTAATTAGTATTTTGGAATTGTAGAGGAGCTAAGAAAAAGAAAGCTTCTCTATATCTCAAGGAGGTGGTGAAAGACAATGATGTTTTGTTTGTTGGATTATTGGAGTCAAAATTGACTCGTATTGATAGTAGCAAGGAAGAAAATGATGGTTTTCTTTCAAGTGAAGACATTTGGTGCTTGAAGACTAAAATTAATGAGCTCAATTCAACTTTACTTCACCTCAACACTTGGTGAAAACAACGAGCAAAAGTTAGATGGACGATTGAGGGAGACTGCAATTCAAGATTTTTTCAGTCCTTTGCAAGTGCTAGGTGGAATTCCAACTTTATTTATAATATAAAATGAATATGTATGTAATGTTGAGGACAAACATTAGATTGAAGAGGTTTTTCTAAGTTTCTTCAAAGGAAAATGGGGTGAAAGGAATTGTTCTTTGGATGGTTGGACAAAATCGCGGAAATGTCTGGATGAGGAGGATAAAAATTTATTGAATAAAGGTTTTTCATTTGAAGAAGTGAAGAGTTTGATAAAATAATCAGTGGGGTTCATTGCACTAGGGAATGAAGGCATATCATACTCCTTTTTTAAAAATTATTGGTCTATTATAAAAGAGGATGTTTTGAATGCATTGATCAATTTTTTATCACAACTGAAATGTTTGAGAATTGGAAAGAGACACTTATGGTGTTGATTCCTAAAGTAAGTAACCCTTCGGCTCCATCAAACTTTAGACAGATAAGCTTGTGCAAAACTATTTACAAAATAGAAGCCAAAGTTTTGTTGAATAGGCTTTCTTGCATCAACCAAAAGTTAATTTCTAATGAACAAGTTGCTTTCTAAAAAGGGAGATCTATTTTAGATCATATACTCATAGCACAAGAAATTTTTCATAAGTTCAGGCTTTCCAAATCTTCTAATGGTTTAGTCTCATTCAAAATTGACATGGAGCATGTGTATGACTCCATGGGGTGGATGGCTCTGAGTAAAGCTTTGGAGTACTTTTCTCAAAATTAATCATGGATTGTGTTAAATATCCCTCCTTTTAATTATTGATTAATGGGAATCAAATTGATTGGATAAAGGCTAAATGTGGATTTCAGTAAGGATGCCCCTTATCTCCGTATCTTTTTATTCTTTATTCTCTATTATTATCTAAAGCTTTTTTTTTAAATGATTCAATTGGTATCAAGGTTAACACAAGTGGCCCAAAGATCTCTCATTTGAGTTATGCGGATGACATCTTAATATTCTCATATGCTAAGGTGATGAATGTTAAGAGGATTAAAGGTATTTTGAAGGTTTTTTGTGGATAGACTGGGAAAAAAGTCAATGGAAGCAAATCAGTAATTTTGTTCGATAAATCATTGAGAAGGAGGAGGAAGAATGCTATAACACATATCATGGGATTCAAATCCGTAAAAGAGTTTAATTATCATGGAAATAAAGTTACTTTGAGAATATTAGGGAAGATGAACTTTCAATTTTTCATTAACAAAGTGTTAAAAATATTGAATACTTGGGGTGGCAAGTTCATCACTTTGGCAGGGAAGATCACACTTGTCCAAAATGGTATTGCTCTCATATCCATCATTCTATTCTACACATTATATGATTCCAATGAGTATTTTAAATGAAATTGATAAGCTATGTAGAATTTTTATTTGGAACAAGATGGATGGAGGTTTAGGCATTCATTATGTAAGTTGGAGTACTATGTGTAAACCTGTGGAGAATGGTGGCCGTGGGATGCATTCATGTTCTAGAACGGTTGGCCCTTTAAGAGCAAAACTTGCATGGAAATATGTTCAAGACAAAGAATCAATTCTGCACAAATCCTTATATCCAAAATATGGTCCAATTTAGGATCACATTGTTGGGAGGAGATCTCGTTCACTTACCAGGAAGCTAATTAAGGATGGAGGTAGGTGTATCAGACAGATAGTAAGATGGAAGAAAGAAAATGGGAAGCCAATTGATATCTTTAATGATATTTGTATCATGGATAAGAGTTTAAACATGTGGCCAACATTTGTGGTGCATAAAGATTGTAATCTGGAAACAGTAATGGTAAGTGATTTTATTTTGGAAGGGAGATGTAATGTTGCCGAATTGAATAAAAATTTTTTATGTGAGCTGGTGGAAATCATATGTAAAATTTAAATTTACTCAAATAATTAGGAACACATGCTGGAGCTCATTCAGTGACTTTCTGAAAAATCTATTTCATCATTGGTTGTTTCGGCTGTAAAATCGGAATTTGAAGATTACAAGTGTTGGAGATGTTTGAAGAAAGCAAAGCTTAATGCTAGTGTGGAGAACTTTTTGTGGAGGCTATTAAACAATGCTTTAGAGGGTTGGAGTCAAATAGATTGTGCCCAAGAGGGTGCAACGAAGTTGAAGATATAGAGCATTGGATTGTTAGCTATAAGAAGTTGAAGGATGTTATTCATCTATTAAATCAATGGGGTTTCATGATTCCACTTGTCACCTGCATTGAAGATTATTGGAATTGGATGATGAAACAGAAACCTTTTTGTTGAATTTATTCTACAACTTTGTTTATTTTAGATGGAAAGGAAGGAATGAGTTGGTCCACGGGAAAAAGGAGAGAATTGCAATCTTTATAGCAATTGAATCTGTCAAATATGCATCTGTGTGTAATGCTATTAAATGGAACATTTTGGGATGGTTTGATGTCAATCATCTCTTTCTGTTGCATAAAGCTTGGCACCCTCCTCCACCCGATTGGATTAAAGTGAATGTAAATGCATCCTTATTACTGTCCTACAAAGTTGGGGTAGGCTGTGTATTCAGAGATCACCATGGTTTAGCTTTTGGGAAAGCTTGTGCCCATTGGGATATAGCATATTTGGAGCTTCTAGCTATAAAGTCAGTTAAAGAGGTGATTAAAGATTGGATGTTGGAGCATAAATGCATCATTATTGATGGTGAAAATGCCAACGTTATAAGTTCATACAAAATTCATATATAAGAGGTGAAAAACATCTTGAAAACATTTCTTTTTTTAATTATGTGATTTTTAATTGTATAGAAAGGAGTGGCAACAAGTTAGCGGATTTATGTGCTAACTATGCTATTTTTGCTTCTTTTTGTTGGGACGATATAGGATTGAATAAGGTTCTTCCTTCCTTTGTGGAGTTGTTAAAGGAGGAATCATTAGGTAACATTGTGTATTTGGTTCTTTCATTTTTAGTTTTCAATGCATTTATTGCTTCTTCAAAAAAAAACTAAATTAGAAGCATTAATAAGAGGTTCAAGTAAAACAAGAATAGAAATATCATGAATACGACAAAAATTCTTAACCCGCAAGTGAGAGGAAGCACACCCAATACCCTCACATTCCAAATAATAGCTAAAACATAAAAAATCAAACATTAAAAATTTGAATAATGGTTGGCCTCAGCAGGAAATTCTGGAGAGAAGGGAGCAAGAAAGAGATCACCAAAAAACTAAATTCACATTGAAAAAAGAGGTGAGAAATGCTCTCTTCACTTGCTCTGCAGAAAGGGCACAAACTAGGAATGAAAATGTTCCTCTTAGCTAAAACATCCGCAGTCTTTAGACCATCCACCATGGCAAGCCAAACAAAGGAAGAAAATCGTAAAGCATAGTTTCTGTGCCAGACAAAAGTATACCAGGAGACCTTGTGACGATCCTCGTAAAAATGCATAACAAAAGCTTTAAAACAAGGTTTGAAATTTCCCCTCCACGAAATAGGAGCAGGAGGATTATCAGAAATCGGGATGTTCAGAATAAATCCGTAAATGGATTGATCTAAGTAACTAGGGATGAGCCAAGAGCCATCGTGAATACATTCCATAACTTCCAAATAAGGGGAAGTAGAAGGGGGCCTAAAAGTTGCAACAGCAGAAGCATTACACCATGGGTCCCAAAAGAAAGAAAACTTGCAATCATGGGAAGCAATATGGAACTGAATATTTCCTTGAATTTTAGCAGCAGTAAGACAGATGGACTTCCAAAATTTGGAAGCCATGGAAGGGGCCGTCTTCCAAGGGCTAATAAATTTAGCCTTAAACCAAGCAGCCAGAAGAGAGGGGGAAGTATAGAAGCGCCAAATAAAAGAGCAGTTGAAACCAAACCGAAGGGCTTCAAATGCAGGTAACCCAAGTCCACCAAAGCATTTGGGTAGACACGTGTTTTTCCAAGCAACCAGGTGTAATTTTTTTCCATCCACAGAACCATAAAACAAGAATTTGGAACAAAGCTTATCAATATACTTATAAACACCTTTCGGTATAACAGCGCCTCTAATCTAATAAGCAATGGTGTTTGCTATAGTGAATTTAATGAATTGAATTCTACCTGCAAAAGACAAGAATTTAATTTTCCATCCAGCAAGTAGAGTAGAAATCCTACTCGATAGTGGATGGAAGTGAGAAGTTTTGAGTTTCCTAGGAGAAATAGGGAGACCAAGGTAGGTGAGAACATCCTCAGCATTAAAGAAGCCCAGCAAGGAAGTAATCTGAGTGGCCAAAGGGGTATTCTTGGAGTAGAGTATGGAACATTTAGCATTATTGATACACAGGCCAGTGTGCTCAGCAAGTTTAGATAACAGAGATTTAAGGCTGTTAGCATTGGCAAGAGAGGCTTTTCCAATGACCAAAATATCATCAGCGTATAATAGGTGCTTAACCGAGATATTACCAGAAATGATGCCCTCAAAATTACTATCATCAATCTCACAGGAGAAGGAATCCATAACAACCGAGAAGAGCAAAGGAGAGAGGGGACATCCTTGTCTCAACCCAGAGGATGAGGGAAAGAAACCCTCTAAAGCACCATTCACATTCACAGAAAAGTGGACGTCACTGATACAACCTTTAATCCAGCTGACAAAGATATCCGGAAAACCTTTCAAAGTGAGTCTGTTTAAAATAAAGTCTCTAGAAACAGTGTTAAAAGCTTTCCGTAAATCAAGCTTGGCACAGAAGTATTTCTTGTTGGGATTCCCATTGAATTCACTCAGAATCTCGGAGGCTAGAACAATTTATCAGTGGAGATTCTATTCTTAATGAAGCCAGTTTGACTATTGTGGATAATGAGAGGCAAGATCTCTTTCATACGATTGGCCAAGATTTTAGCAATAATGTTATAAAAGACATTGCAAAGAGAAATAGGCCTATAGTCAGATAAAGAGGAGGCATGCTTACCCTTGGGGATAAGAGCAATAGCAGTGGCCTTGGCACATTTGGGAAGAGACCCCTTAGAGAAGAAATGTTTTACAGCTCTGCAGACATGACCCCCAATAATATCCCAAGAAGCTTTGTAGAACTCAAAAGGGAACCCATCAGGTCCCGGGGTGGAGTTAGAAGG